GTGAAGTCCTCAGAATTCATTGTATTCATCTCCTATAAAGTAGATTCTTTTTATACCTTTAATAATTAAGTGTATTCGTTGTGTGTTCTCACATTTGGCCAATCAGAGTTTATGCTTTACAAGTGTAGAAAAGTTGGATTTCTAAGAATCACTTATTGAGTCAGTGTGACTTGGCTTTTTATTTCAACTGAAAAGTTTGTTCGAAGGAATTCAGAGACCGCAGCTAATCTGCTTTCAGTTTTCCATGAGGCCAATTGGAGAATTCCTTTCAATCAACATTTCCTTGTAAATTGACCGTCACGTCCCTCCATGCTTCACAGTCGGATCTGTGGGCGCTGATAGCACTAGACTGCAAAGCTAGCACGACTAATTCGTTCAACCTCTGGCCTAGAAGATGCGCTATATCGAAGTGTATTGGCTTCGGTTTCACTCACGGCAAAACGATGTCGGGCACCGGCAGAGTGTCTTCATACTCCCGTCCCAGGCGCCTACCCGCCTTTGGCAGAACGACATCTTCAAGCAGCTTGTCGTAGATGATGTGGAGTAGTCCCAGTTGCATGGCCAACTGGCGGAACTGCATGGTCTTACCGGCTCCCTTTGGACCGATGACAACAATACGAAGAGGGGGCGGCTGTCCAGTAGGGAAGTAAGCAGAAGAGATCATATCATCTATTATTACTATTTATTTAACAGAAGCATGGGCATACTAACAACCCTTAGATGATATGCCAGCTCAGACATTTCATCAACACAATAACTATCGGGATAAATATATCTAGCATTTGGTGATTATAATGGAAATTTGTACGTCATCACATGTCATGTGAATATGGGCCAGGCAAATATATAAAGTAAATGTCAATAATATATTGGCACAATCAATAATTAGGTGGGAATCACAATAAATATGTGTTTCGGTAATTAAAACGGTCTGATATCTGCAAGCATGGGAATCAGAGCTAAAGCGCTCCGCTCAGTGAAGCGGCAGTGTATGTGCTTATAGGACCTTGAGAAATAGCGCCTAGAGTAAAATGCACACAGGGACTGGACCGGAGTGAAATCGGTCAACCAGAAAGATAAGAAACGGATCTACGAGACAATGAGCGGATCCGGATTCGAGGCTTAAGTCGGATCGGCCGATCGAAAGAGAGTGGTCGAGGTGAATATCAAGTTTGATGAGGCCACATTAGATTTGCCACAAAGGGCACACATTTTGAGGAATGGAATGTGAACAAGTGAGAAGTTGTGATTGGGCGGCAGTGGGATAAGAGGGTAAAGAGTAGATAGATAGGCCAGGACAGAAAGAGGAGTAAGAGTGTAACCGTTTTCGGCAGAATATTGGTGCAGGGATTGACTTCACTTGTCTCTTTTGACGAGTCCGTAGCTTGGTTCGGAAAATGGCAGCACTCACTGATGATGCCGACTATGATGCCAGCGAAACCAAGTCCACTGTCAGATGCTGGGAATCATGACAACTACTCTGCAAGACGACTTCGGACTAGCTGCGTTCTACATAGTTTCCCTGACAACTGGACCAAGTGGCAGAAACGAGGT